CCAACATCAAATGTAAATGTGCCTCTTTTTATCTCCCACCCATTGCCCCTTGTTCTGCTCCCAGGCAAAAGCTGCCTTTTTTTTTTTATTGGGCACTAATAACCACTTACACCTCCCAGGGTTGTCCTACAGATCAACTGAGAGAATAAATGTGACAATGTTTTGAAAAGTAATGCATTAAGCAAATGTAGGGCAGCTAGGTAATGTAGTGGATAGAATGCCAACTTGGAGTCAGGAACTCATCTTCCTGAGTTCAAAACTGGCATTTGAACGAATCTCAGACATTTACTAGCTATGTGACCCTGGGCAAGTCATTTGACCCCATTTGCCTCAGTTTCCTCATCTGTAAAATGAGCTGGAGAAGGAAATGGCAAACTACTCCAGTATCTCTGCCAAGAAAACCCCAAATGGGGTCATGAAGAGTCAGACATGACTGAAACGACTGAACAACAAAGCAAATATAAGGAAGTAAGTGCACAGTGCCTTCTTCCAGGAAGAAGCACCTCCATTTCATCTTGGCCATTACATATTGTCCTGATGAGGTCACTACAGTCCGAATGAAAATGCTATTCATGGAAAATTTGCAGCTTGGTCTGTTATGTCAGTTTGTCAACATGGTTATTTGTGAGGTTTCACATACAAACACAGATTCAATTGACACATGGTTTCTTCCTCAAATTGTGCAATCCAGTGCTTCTCACCACACTCAAGTACACTCTTTCCTTCCTCTCCTTTTCTGCCCCTTGCCCCTCCCCAAACCGGTCTCCTTCTTGGCAAGGATTGGGAAATCTTAATTGAAACAGCTGGTGCCAAGTGCTGTGGACAGAGCTTGCTGACGGATAAACATTATTGTTCAGGTTCAAATTCCAGGAAACATAACAATTCAGGCAGGCAACATGGGGACTGAGAAAAGCCCTGGGAGACAGAGACAAGGAAGTCCCTTTGATTGATGAGGGATTAGCAAGGTCCTGGTCCTTGCCAGGAGTGGAGGTGAGGAGGACACCGAGGTGGGAGGAAGAGGTACAGAGATCAGAGAGTCAAAGGCCTGTCAAGGATTCCAGTGAATAGAAACAGAACTCAGAGGCTTAGAACCTCATGCCTGGAGACCAACCAGAGTAGCATTGGGTGAGCTTTTGGGTCAGATGTTTCCCTGAGATGGGTGTGGAAAGGGACGGTGACTTGCTAAAATTAGTCAAGTAATGGTGGTAAACCTGTTTTGTGGACCTGAATGCTGATTCTAAATTCCTAACACAAATTATCTTGGCTTTAGTCTATCTCTGGAATTGGAAAGCATGACCCTAGAGGCCTGGGGAGGTGGGGTGGAACTTCTGTGTGTAGTTTTTCTGAGATGTCTGAAAGAAGACAAAGTTTTCTTCTTCTGGAGGCTCATTTTTCATTGCTGCTCCTTTGGCTGGTAAAAGGGAGAGTTGTATTCTAACTTTGGGAAGGCAAGCTGAAGGCTAAATCCTATTTTGGGATAGCAGTTTGTCTTCTTGTGAAGGCAGGGACCACGCTGGGAACTAAACACAAATAGAAGAGCTGATGCTCTTTCATGCTTTTATATGAAAACAAAACAAAACAAAACAAAAAACTAAAATACAGAAGGCAGTTTGGAAAAGTACTATGATTTAACTTTGCCTGCCAGGCAGTGGCTGCTGTTCTGATTGCATAGGGTCACCATCTTCAGACAATTAAATTAGCTGTAGGTAATTGCCTGCTTGCAGGCGAGGCTCTCTGGCTTAGTACAGAAGCACTCTGTTTGTATGTCTTTCTCTGCAAACAATTGCATCTCCATTTCAGGGCATGATCTCAGCAGCCTTGGAAAAAAGGGAACACTGTTTAGTGATAAATATATGCAGCACTAAGTTGCCTTGGTGAAGAGGAAGAGTTCACTTACAGAGGCTTTCTCTGGCAACTCCTTGTACTGCTCAAGTCTCTGATTATGTACGCCCAGAGGGGAGAAAAAAAGTTAGTTGAAATCAGTGCTCCCCTTTCAAGACTGGTTCATGTGATACCATATGTATCCAAGGATAGAGAATACACTTCCAAATCCCCAATGAAGTCAAAAGAGAGCTGGAATCTCCCTAGACTTGGCAGTAGCAAGAGTTCAGTTTCCTGTGTACTAGGAGTTAGCCAGTATGTTTTTCCTCCTGCTGGGTTATAACAGGGTAGCACATGAAACAAGTGCCATTATTTTTTTTGTGTGCCCTGCTGGGAAGCTGCTGGTTGGAAAACTAAGTGATGTGTTTTTTCTGGGAATTTTTAAAAAAGAAAGGAAGGAAGAAATTGAGAAAGGAAGGGAGAATGTAGGAAAGAGGGAAAGATAGATGGAAGGAGGAAAAAAGAAAGAAGAAAATTAAGAAAGGAAGAAAATAAAGAAATTAAGAAAAGAAGGAAGATTATAGATTTAAAACTCTTCTTTTTTTTTTTTTTGGTGAGGCAATCAGGGTTAAGTTACTTGCCCAAGGTCACACAGCTAGTACAGGTCAAGTGTTTGGTCTGAGGCCTGATTTAAACTCAGGTCTTCCTGACTTCAGGGCGGGTGCTCTATCCACTGTGCCACCTAGCTGTCCCTGGTTTAAAGCTCTTCTAATAAATAACCTTAAGGTTGTACTAGTAACTTTAAACATTTGAAAAAAATAAAGGCTGCTCTTCAAACCCTGGAGTTAAATGTCTATTGTGTTCAAAGAACCAGGGGAAAGGAAATAAAGAAAAACTGTGAGAAAAATCAATATTTTTAAGACACATGGGAAATTAGCCATGTGATATATTTTCACTACATTGTGTTCAAAAATGGAACCAGTTTATTTTTTGCTTTACTATTTTGGTTTCTTTCCTATCCCCACCTCCAAGTTTCTTGCTCACTGTTACAGGGCTCTATTCAGGGATAGTTTAATGATATGCTGTCTTTTTGTCTGCCTGAGAGCCCTTCAGTTGAAAGGTGACAGTGAACCAGTTATCATGGAGGAAACATAAACATGTGATCTGGCTCTAAGTAATAATACAATGCTAAAGTGCTGCAGTTATTGAAAGCTTACATAGACCAAAATTAGTGGCATCAGAGTGTAATGCATAGAAAGCCAGCCTTGGAGTGAAAGAAGACCTAGGTTTATGCTCTGCCTCTGACACATACAACTTTGTGACTATGGGCAAATCATTTAATCTCGGTGTTCTAGGTCTAGACAATTTTCTAAGATTATAAATTGCAGAGAAGGTACCAATCTGCATTGGTGGAGGGAGTTTCCTCACTTGGGAGTTCCTTATAGCAATGAAATCATAGATGTAGTACTTATTCGTATAGGTATATACACATAGATGTTGACCAGATGTTCCCTATATTGATGAAATCACAGGTCCAATGTTTATTCATATATTTGTATGCACATACACACAGGATAAAAAGTACTTGTGTTGCAATCTACTCTGATGAGATCATAGATTAGTTGATGAATTTTTCACAAACTTTGCCAGCCTGATATGTAGTTTTGATGCACTGAGTTGGGTTATCATGGCGATTTTGGTGGAAGAAGTATTGAAGTGGCAGTCAAGAGACCTGGGTTCCAGTCCTGGATCCAGCACTTATTTTGTGACCTTGGACAAGTCATTTTTACCACTTACTGGCTTCAGTTTCCCCAATTGTAAAATGGAGTTCTCTGATGTTTATTAAAGGAAAATTTGAGTAGGTTTGGGAGGATGGCACATAGAAATCTATAGGAGGAGATAAAATTTTAAGTTATTGCTTTTCATTGATATCCATGACTAAGAATTCATGGAAAATGGGAGCAGACATAAATCATTTTATGGGACAGTTAGATGGCTCAGTAAATAGAGTGCCAGGCCTGGAGTCAGGAAAACCTGAGTTCAAATCCAGCCTCAGACACTAGCTGTGTAATCTTGGGCAAGTCACTTAACCCTCTTTGCCTTGGTTTCATCATCTATAAAATGAGCTGAAGAAGGAAATGGCAAACCACTCCAGTATCTCTGCAAGAAAACCCCAAATGGGGTCGAAATAAGTTGAACACAACTGAACAACAACAACAATAACTAATAGGTCATTCTAGAAAGGGCAAAGAGGACAGAAGAGAGACTGTGTATAATCAGCTCAGTGAATTCACCTAAGGGGAAGTGGTCATTGGCCTCTCTGAGAGAATGAACAGAGAGGAGTTGGGCTCAGTGCAGATCATACCAAAGCCTGTGAGAAAGAGCTAAGTAATAGAGTGGAGACTGAAATCTGGGAAAGGCAGACAGGGAATGAGAAGAATGTAACTGGGGAAGGGAATGAAAGCAAAACTGAATCCAAGAGAGGAGAAATTTGAGGGAGAGAGAAAAGAGCAATGAGATATCTGATATAAAGACTCTTGTACGGGGGAGTTAGTTGACCCCAAGTTCTAGTATTTAGTTGTGTCACTAAATAACTTTGTGAGCCTGGGAAAGTGAATAATTCTTTTTGGGACTCAGTTTTCTGCTCTGTAAAATGAGGAAGCTGGACCAGATCAAGTGTTCTCAACTTGGAGTCCATGGACTTGAGGCGGTGGGAAGTGAATAGAGATTTCCAAAGGGCAGTGAGCTTGGCCAAAAAAACTACTTCTTTATTTTTCCCTAACCTTTGATTTCTTTTGTAGTCCTATGGATTTCATGCATTTATGATTCTGAGAAGGGCTTTACCAGACTGGAAAGGGGGCCATGACTTAAAAATGGTTAAGAACCTCTGGACGAGACGATTTCTAAGACTCTTTCCAGCTCTGAGAGTTTATGAATCAGAGGATGGAGAGGCTAAAGGGGTCTTCAGCGAACTGGGCAGGAGGGACAGAGGGAAGCCAGGGCTTATGAGCAAGGCTAGGGAGCCTTCAGCCACAAGAGGAAGGGGCTGGGCAGGGAAGGGAAAGGGGCGGAGAGCGAGACTAGGCGGGACGGCACGAGACGGGAAAGGACGGGACGGGGCTGCAGCTCTCCAGGAGCGGGGCCAGGAGGCGGGGAGAAGCCGGAAGCCTCTTTAACTGCGCTGCCCGCCCCGGTCAGCTCAGGCCCTCCTCCTCGCCTGCCCGGGCGAGCTCAGACCTCCCGGCTCGCCTCGGCTCGGCTCGACTCGGCAGGCGGTGGTAAGTGCGGGGTTCCTTGAACCAGGACCCGGGGGGGGGGGGGGGGGGGGAAGGAGGACCGAGAACTCGTCTTGGTGAGTTTCGACGCACGAGATGGGGATTCAGGGAGGGTCAGAGAGTGTGAGTGGCCACCTTCAGACTGGTTCTGGACCGGAGTCTGGACCGTGAGGAGGGGGAGGGCTCCCGCGGGGCTCCGGCTAGCCCGGGGCCCCGCCGCCGCCGCCGCCGCCGCCTTTCTTTCCTCGGCACCTTCTCCCTGGTTGTCTCCTTCACGATCTGGTTACCGAGAGTTGACTCTGTGTTGGGGTCGGGTTTCGTTTAAAGGAAAAAAATCTGGGAGACCTCGGGGGCATACCCCAGTGCTTTCTCCCTTCCTAATGTTCTGGTTTCGGACGTGCTTAGGACCAAGGGCTGTAAGTCCTTGGGTGGGCAGAATTTGAGGCGAGTCCTTCCTCCCACGCTGGCTCAGTTAAAGAAGGCAGGCATCTTCCCTCCTCCCAGGGCAGTCCTTCTGGGCCAGTTAAAGAGGAGAAGAAACTATAGCCCACACCTCCTCCGGGACTTTGGGTGATTCGTGGTGACCTGCCCTGGGGCAGCTTCAGCTGGTGCAGGACTTTGTCATTGCTTAGCCTTTTTAGTTGTGTTGCCCAAAGAGGAAGTTCGGACAAGCTTAAATGCCGACAGGTTGGCGCCGCGTTGGACCACCCCGTTTTGGACCTGACGGAGAACAGCCAAAGGGAGGGAACTGGCCTCTAGAATATGGACTGACAGTCTTTCCCCCGAACCCCGCCCCTCCGAACCCCCAACACCCCGTCCCAATCCCCAGGCCTGTGCGATTCAGCCTGGGGAAGGGAAAGGAAAGGGTCTACCAGCTTTGAACTGATCAGGATGGGGAAAGTACTCTGTGGGTAACTGAGGGAAGAACGAGTTATTGGCTGGGGAGCTAGGAGCTGGAGTTGAGGTGTAGCAGATGTCCAGTGGTTGGGGCAGGATGAATGTTGTAGACGAGACTGGTAGCAGAGTTGCTGCTTGCCAGAGCGATTGGGCCAGACTGTTTGCAAAGGCATGTAGAGTCACTGGTCCAGTTTGCAATAACTGGAGGAGGTTTCTATTTTTATTTCCCAGGGGAGTCCAGTGATTTGAGTGAGGTCAGAGACTTAGAGGCAGAGCCAGAAGGAAAACTCAAGCTATGCGTTTAAAGTCAGGAAAAAAAAAAAACCTACTGTGGCAGCCTACAGATCCTAAAGAGGGATACATGGCTCTGTTAGGAAACACTTTGTGAAGACTTTTATGCAGGCAGTTGCCACACTGCTCCTTCTCACTCAGTCTTTTAAATATGAGGAAGAATGACAGATTTTCACTTTTCTTTGACATTATTTACCTGTGATGAACACATTACTACCTCCCTTCATTTGAACCTCGAGTTAGGAAGACATGAGTTCAAATACAGCCTCAGACATTACCTGTCACTTAACCACTCTGTCTCAGTTTCCTCATCTGTAAAATGGGGCTAATAATAGCATCTACCTCCCAGGGTTTTTGTGAGGATCAAATGAAATAATATTTGTAAAGTGCTTTGCAAACCTTAAGGTTCTATAAAAATGCTACTAAATATGTAGTTCTTAGTTCCTGAAGTGAGAAGTTGAAAGTAGTCACATTCCTGAAATAAAAGCATATTGCAGATCTGTTCATTGTACCTTAGTACAATAACCTTAGTTATTGACTTCTTTCAGTCCCTTACAGGTTTCCTGTTTCAATATCTAGACTAAAATGTTAATTTGTTCTGTTATAATCTAGAGCAAGTGGGATGCCCCTGTTTAAGCCTGTGTGATCCTGAGCAAATCATTTAACCTCTCTGTGCCCTGTGGGTACCTCTTCGCAACCAACATTGTTGGACAAGTTTTCTCAGCAGGAAATTTCTATACATCACTGAGGTTTAGTCCCTACACCTTTATAAGGAAACAGGGAAAGGAAGCAAATAATTTATTAAGCACTTATGTGCCAGGCACTGTATGAAACATTTTACAAATATTATCCCATTATAACATGATTTCTTTCAGACCTGAGATTTTAACTCTGGTGTCCAAGAACTTAAACATTTTTTATAACAGTTTTAAGTATAATTGATTTCCTTTGTACTCCTATGTATTTCATTTTATGCATTTAAATACATGCAGAGAAGGGCTCCATACTTTGACTTAACCAGATTGCCAAAGGGGTCCATGACATACGCAAAAAAGTTTAAGAACTCCTGATTTAGCATGTCTGGTCAAATGGAATTCATAAGAATTAGACATTGGGAAACTTACTCAAAAGGGATCCAGGTTTATTGTAAAAATAATTGTGCAAATATGTGGTTTTTGGTTTTAGTTTTAAAACTACAACTATTTCTCATTAAGCCTGTGCTGAAGCTGGTTTTCTTTTAGGCTATCAGGTTATTTATACTTTGCCACTGCATGTTTTTTTTTAAAGGGATTGAGTTTATTTACCTTTTAAAATTATTATTGGGAAATTCAAGGTGCCTTGAAGTCATCTAGGCCTTCTAAAGTTGGTGGTTTCTTTGCAAAAATGTTGCCAGGAAGATTCAGCTGCTAACCTTCATAGGTAGATAGATTTAATTCAGGGCAGTTGAGTTTATGTTCTCTCACTTGAAACTTGAAACTAAAGTTTTGCCTGAATTATATCAACTGTAAAAATCCCCTGAGACATGTTACTGAAAAGTAATGGCTTGCTTTAGATTGTGGTAAGACTACTTCATCTTTCATAGTCCCTACCTCCCACCCCCTACCCCCCAACCCTCCTCATCTTGTGCCAAGTTGCTTCTCTTGAGAGCTGGCAGTTTTAAATTATTATTTCCTAGGCATGCATAATTAGTAAAACACTGACTCCATTGGGATGGAAGATGGCAACAGAGAGTACAATTAATAGCTTTAATCCAAACATTTAAGATAAATATTAAGTTTTCATTTTATTATATGGCTTGAGTTTCCTAGTCTGGCAATTTTTGGGCAAATCACTAAACTATTGAGGGACTGACTCACTTTACTTATCTGTAAAATGGGGGAGGTCATGGACATTTATATAACTCCTACTGTGTGCCAGACACTGTGTTAACCTTTGGTACATGCTATTCTTCTCATTTTAGAGTTGAGGACACTGAGGCAAATAAAAATTAAATGACTTGCCCACTAAAGTCAGATTTGATATCCTCTTCCTGACTCCACTTTGCCACCAGCTGTCTCTGGAGGATTTATTGGATTTAAACTTGGTAGTTGAGAGGTTGTGTGTGTGTGGCTGCTCAGGTTAGAAGTTGATCTATAGGGTGGCATGTTGAAGAGACGTGGAACTTCATATGAATCCTATCCCTTGACTTGTACTGATTGATAAAGAATTCCCCCCCTATAAAACCTTTGCCAGAGCTGCAGGTGTGGGATTTGACGGATGGGATAGAGAGTTTGCCTGCCTTTCCTCCCTCCTTTTCTTGTTCTCTCCTCTTCCTGGTGTCAGAGAGGCCTGAAATTTCCCAAAGCTGGATGCTTGGATACTGTTAGAATCAATAACCAATGAACACCGGAATCAACACAATCAAGCCAACACTAGAATCAATAACCAGTGAACTTCCTTGAGATATAGCCAAATCACCTTCGGGCCCTGAGTACTCTTGGGTTTCCTATATTGGGAATCTAGGATGTGAATTGTGAGTATAAGAGGTGAGGAGGGACCTAGGAAAGAGGATTGGGAGGATTAAATGAGTTGAACTTGGGAGTCTAAAGGCTTGGATTCAGATTCTAGCTTTCACACCATCCAATGGAGGTTCAGATTGGTTGAGTCCAAGGTTGTATAGCTACTGCCTATATAATAAATAGCAGAGATAGGATTAACAGAATTATTGAAATGTCATCTCAGTCCAAATGTCCAAGGTACAGGTAGAATTCCAGGTCTGATAGTTGGACCTGTAGGGGACCTAAGAGGAAGGAGCAAGAATTTCCTGGCCAAGAATTTCTTAAATATCTGCCCCAAGTGGTTTCTTATCCTTTGCTTAAAGGCCTTTGGGGGGAGCCAATTACTTCCCAAGGCTACTCATTTTTGGATAGGGGCTCAGAATAAATATAAATAATAATTGTTTCTGTTTTGGCCAGAAACCCTGAGGGTCTTCCTCTCCCAGATCTTTTTTTTTTTTTAAAGAGGCCATTCTTTGCCTCATTTTTATTAAGCCTTAATCACTGAATGGGCTTTGCCTCAGTCAAACTGAAACCTGTTAATGACCTTAGCTTGAAAAGATCAAGGTCCCCCACTGCATCCTGGGCCATCTTCAGTTGTCCTGATCCATATCTGGTCACTGGACCCAGATGGCTCTGGAGGAGAAAGTGAGGCTGGTGACTTTGCACAGCCCTCCCTCACTTAAATCCAATTCACTTGCATGACATGGCATCACTTCCCTGATGTCATGGTCCTCTTCGAGAAAGAAGAACAAACAGCAGGAATCCACAAGCATTTATTAAGCACTGCCTGTGTGTCAGACACTGTGCTCGATTATGAGAATGCATAGACAAGTAGAAAGACAATTCCAAACCTCAAAGAATGTATATTCTAATGGAGAGAGGGATCACATCAGAGGAATCTTAAAAGGGATGGAGAGAAAGGTATTCCCATGGTGGAGACTGGAGATTCAGGAAGGAGGCCTGGAGGAATGAAGATATGTATGGTCGAATGAGTTTTCTCTTTCCACAAGATAGCGTTTCACATACTTTATGATGATGTCCAACCTGTCTTTCCAGATTGATCCCTTCACAAAATACTTGACAACCAAAACAGTCTCCTTTCTGTCTCTATCTTTGTATGGACCGTCCCCCATGACTGGAACAATCTACTTCCACATTTGAGGTTTTTGGAATAAAATTCGGATCCAGTTCATGGCTCCTTTCCTTGTCATTTCGATTTCAATGTTCTTTTCCACGTAAAACTATGTTGTATTTACTTTGTGTATGTTTCTCCCAGTA